ATTTTTGGCATGTTAAAATCTGCATTTTTTGGCAGGAAATATATTATTATATATTATATTATAGATTTACTGAGAGCAGAAGCCACGTAGAATAAATAGATGGTAGTTGCTATTTTTTATGTGGCACAATATTGGCAACGTTTTATCAAATCTATATTTTCAGTGAAAAGTAAATGATTTGTTAATGAACACAACACAATATAATCTCCATTTTTGTACAAAAGAAAAGGGCAAGTCAATAGATACTAAATATGTTAAGCCCCAAAACTGTGTGCACCTGTGAAATGGCAAAAAAATCCTGTACCCAAAATTATCAATAGGCAAAGATTTAAATGCCTTAACAGTTCATCAGTTCAAAAAGTTTAGAGCTTACAGTAAGCAAAATGAGGGACCTAGAATTATTTCCCTCATTTCCGCATGCATGGCAATACCAACTATGTGTGGGGCAATCTTTGTTTATATACACGGGAGCACCCTATGCGTGTGCTGGTGTTACATTTTGTATTCCTTTAGTATCTTTACATTTGTAAACACTTTTGGATTCCTTTTTTCACCTAACTTTATTGCTGTTCCTAGGGGGATGTGATCTAATTGGGCAGATGACAGGTACTCTTTATGCAGGCATTATGGGTCTATTAGATCCCTAAACTCTCCCCTGCCCTCTGTATGTGAGTACCATAAAAACGATCGAGCAGCTCTACAGCTGCCCTGGTCACTTTCACTAGTGTTGGGAGCCTGCTAAACAAAAAAGAAACAAGCTGCAGATGTGAACTTGCTTTAATCACTTCAAGACCAGGATATATGGGATGCGATCTAAATCCTGAAGTGGTTAAACAAATGTTAGGTTACATGTTGTACTGTAAATCTGATTTGCTAGTACAAAATATTCCAGAAGTGCAACTTACAAAGCTTCAGTGCCATAAGAGTTAGAAGATGTGGAATCTTAAAAAGTGTATATAAAGCCAAACTCTGGGCAAACGGCTATACATACTATTGAAATAAATAAGTAAATAAATTAGGGTTGCACAGATACCAAGTACAGTACTCGGTACAAGTACGAGTACAAGTACCGATACTTTTGAGCTCCAAGACTAGAGTAGAGAAAAATACAAAAATTAGGAGGCAGCGGTCATTTGTAAGGAGCACACGGAGCTCCTGGGATTTGTACATCTCTGTTTTACTGTATGATTTTGTTTTTATAAATATAAATAAAGTGATGCACAGATACCAGTTTTGCGAGTACAAGTACTGATACTTGCCCAAGTACTTACAAGTACTGATACATTTTTGTTTATTGTCATGTGACAGTTTTTCTAAAACAATACAGACTAATGATTTCAGGACAGTGGTGGAGCGCCAGAGCCCGGTCCCAGCTGCAACCGCTGCAACCCTGGTAGTTCTCATGAAAATGCCAAGTATCTGCACTGGTACTCGAAAAGTATCTGTGCATCCCTAAAATAAATATATGTGAACTGTCCTACAGATCTGTTATTCTTATTTCCCACCCTTATACATCTAGTGGACAGTGCTGCCAGTGGGGTGACACCACTTTCTTTGTTAGAGTTGAGTCTATTTCCGCCTTTGTAAGTGATTAGCATCTATTGTGGTAATGGTGCAGTGATGGTGTATATGTGTGTATATTTTCATGACTTGCATTGCTGGCTTTCTTCATTTATTGTGAACTTTTTATTAGGCCTAAATCCTAGAAATTCAAAATTTTCTCCACAATAAACTCAGTCTGACACTGGGGTCAGATTGTAAAGCAGGCTGTAAGCAGCTACCCACTTCCCTGTGATTCGGTGTACCATGATCACTAAGCACCAGCTTTGCATTTGCACACTATACACTGTCTGGTT